ACCCACCAAATCCCCATCATACAGAGGAAGGTTAGGGTCAGGGTTCTTAGGCCTTAGTTCCTCTTTGGTAATTCACACACACTGAGGCTACGTTTGACACAGGAAAGGCTCATCTCCCTCACCGGGGTTCTGAGGCTTTGCCTTTGCCTTTCCCACCCCCCCCCCTCCTCAGGCATGCCCCTGACCACGGGCGTGGTCTCCCGGCGGGGCGTGGTGGCGTCCGTGGACGCGCCCCCCGTGGCGCTGCTGAAGCGGGCGGGCGCCATCCCGCTGGGCGTCACCAACACCAGCGAGCTGTGCATGTGGTTCGAGGCGCACAACCACCTGTACGGCCTCACCAGGAACCCCTACGACCTGGGGAGGATACCTGGGGGCAGCTCAGGTGAGCTGGAGATCCAACTCCACCCACATCCAAGTCGGCCATTTTGATTAGGTCACCAATAGGAAGATCCCAGGCAAGAAAATCCTAATTGCTTCATGGCAATATAGACGTTAATTTAGGAATAGTGAAATTAATCTTGCAAACACTGAATTAAACTCTATCCATAATATTATGTTAGAATAGTGGATGTTAAATAGGTTTGGACAATAAGTCCAAACAAGTTTAACCAAAAAATATTTATTTCTCACAATTATGAAGGGTGGAGGGTTAGGTTTAGGGTCAGGGTTAGGGTCAGGGTTTGGTTTAGGGTCAGGGTTAGTTTTAGGGTCAGGGTAAGGGTTAGGGTTAGGACATCGTTTATCTTCCGATTTCGTATAGACAGTAAAGTTTCATTTCCACCTGAGAAAGCTGTTAGTCACATGACCGGATCAAAATGGCCGACTTGGATGTTGGAGTAGCTGGATATCCCACCGAGACTCCTACAGGCTGCTCACACACTCACCCGTCTCTCCTCCGGCTCCCCTCAGGGGGGGAGGCCAGCATCCTGGCGGCGGCCGGAGCCGTTATCGGCGTGGGCTCAGATATCGGCGGCAGCATCCGGATGCCCTGTTTCTTCAACGGGATATTCGGCCATAAAACCACTCCAGGTGAGCCGGGCCCGTTTCACATCACTTTCTCAGATCAAATTAAGTCAAACTGGTCGTGGAAGGGCTTTTTATTGGCCGTTAATTCATTGGCTGCCAAAGACGTCTATAGACGTCTTTTATGTTTTTCCAACGCGAGTGGCTGGGGGACGATCTGCTAAAGCTTGTCCGTAAATATCGGCTTCTAGACAGAGTATGTACTAACAAATTGACCCTCTAGGGTCTACTCTTTCTTTTGGTGTGTTCGGTGTTTACATAGTCATAGCACAAACTATTCTGTGGCTCTTGAAAAATCAGTCAAAATGCTCAAAAGCTTTTTCAGATCAAATGCGGTTAAATGTCAGGAAGGTGGATCTTGGCTGAGGACTCAGTCGCGGAGATATGGAAAAACAGGGTTTATTGTAACAAAAGCACTCTCAAAGAGTGGATGTCCAGACAAAGTTCAAAACAAGGCTGTGGCAAAAACTATTAACGAAGTAACAAAGCAAGATTAACATGACTGAGGCAAAGTATCAACGTAAGAGTAAAGAGGCTTTGGCAAAAGCAACAAACAAGGCAGTGAAAAAACTATGAACAAAGTATCAAAGCAATAAGGTTAACAAGGCTTTGGCGTGGCTGTGAAAAACTACGGCTATGGAACAAAAACAAGACTATGACATGGAGCAAAAAACAAGAAAATGGCAATAAAGTGAACTGTGAGAAAATCAAACCTGACGTGGGGTGACAAAAACAGACAGACGAAAGACGAAAACGCACTCGCACAGGACATGGGAAACGAGGACTATTTAAACACATGAGGGAGGGGAACCCCAGGTGTAAACAATAGGTAATCAACACATGACGAGACACCAGACATTCCCCCAGACGTGACATTAAACTGGTCATGGAAGGGCTTTTTTTGGCTGTTAAAAGCACCAATTGTCAGAACGGACTCAAGACAGGACTCAGATGCAGAGTCTGGGAGACTGAAGGTCTTTAATGATAACAAAAATTCACATTATCTAAGAGTGGAAGCACAAGGCTGTGAAATAATAATCTCCCTTTCGAGGACAAACAAAACTATGAAAGTTCCAAATAATAATCACTCTTTCGAGGACAAACAAAACTATGAAAGTACCAAATAATAATCTCTCTTTCGAGGACAAACAAAACTATGAAAATTCCAAATAATAATCTCCCTTTTGAGGAAAAACAAAACTATGAAAGTACCAAATAATAATCAATCTTTTGAAGACAAACAAAACTAAGAAAGTACCAAATAATAATCTCTCTTTCGAGGACAAACAAAACTATGAAAGTTCCAAATAATAATCTCTATTTTGAGGACAAACAAAACTATGAAAGTACCAAATAATAATCACCTTCTCCCTCCGACTTCAAAAAACATTCGCTAAAAAGTGGGTTAAATATGCTGGTCTCTAACAGACAGAAGTACAGAACAGGTGACTAAGCAATGCTGTTATTTATTTTATTTTATTTGAATGTTTTGTTGTATATCTAAGGAATAATGTATCTCCCACACTTTACTTAAAAACTGCCTGGTGGACATTTTAGTTTAATTTATTTTTTGCTTTTTCATGTAAGTCTATCATTCCCCAGTCTTTTCAAAGTTGTTTGATGTAATTTACTTAACTTTGTATATTACACACAAAACATAATTGTGAGTAACTATGCTCTCACAAAATAAAAAAATAAAAATGTTTAAAAAAAACAGAAAATGACCAAGACATGACAAAACACCCCATAAAAAAAAAACTAAAAAAACCCCAGACGTGACGCCAATAAGCACAATAGCTCCGTCAAAACCTGATAATCTCACCTGGTTCTGTGTTCCAGGTGTGGTGTCCTCGGACAGCCAGTACCCGCCCACCTCCGGGCGTCAGGGCGAGTACCTGAGCTCCGGCCCCATGTGCCGCTACGCCCAGGACCTGCTGCCCCTGCTCAGGGTCATGGCCGGAGCCAACGCCAGCATGTGAGACCGCCGCCCACGTCCCAGTCGGCCATTTTGATTAGGGCGTGTGACTAGCAGCTTTCTGAGGTGGAAACGAGACCTTACTGTCTGTACGAAATCGGAAGAAAAACGATGACTTAAATCTAACCAAGACTGAATCTGACCCTGACCCTAACCCTGACTCTGACCCTAACCCTAAACCTGACCCTAACCCTGACCCTAAACCTAACCCTGAATCTAACCATGACCCTAAACCTAACCCTGAATCTAACCCTAAGTCTAAGCCTAACCCTGACCCTAACCCTAACCCTGACCCTAACCCTAAACCCAACCTTAACTCTAACCCTAACCCTAAACCTAACCCTGACCCAAATCCTAACCCTGACCCTAAACCTGACCCTAACCTTGACCCTAAACATGACCCAAACTCTAATCCTAACCCAAACCCTGACCCTGACCCTAACCCTGACCCTAACCCTCCACTCTTCATAATTGTGAGAAATACATCTTTTTTAGTTAAACTTGTTTGGACTTATTGTACAAACCTATTTAACATCCACTATTTTAACATAATATTATGTATAGAGTTTAATTCAGTGTTTGCAAGATTAATATCACTATTTTTGTTGTGGGGGGGGTGTGGGGCTTTGATCTAATTCTCCACGTTTGCGTCCTCAGGCTGTCTCTGGACACCAAAGTGGATCTGAAGAAGCTTCGGTTCTTCTCCATCCCTCACGACGGTGGCTGTGTGTGGACCAACCCGGTCAGCAGGGAGCTGCTGGACGTCCAGAGGAGGGTGGTGCAGAGGCTGGAGGCCGACCTGGGGGTGAAGGTCCAGCAGGTGGCGCTGCCCAGGCTCCGATACAGCTTCCAGATCTGGGACACCTACATGAGCCTCCCTGACAAGGACGGGAAAGTAGGTCCACCTCTCTCTGTTTGATCTCCAGATTCTGGTATCTTAAAGGAGACATATTATACCCTATTTCAACAAGTTAAGCTAGTTCCCTGGTGTCCTAATGTAATGTCTGTGACAAGCTTTGGTCAGAAAACCATAAGGATGAAGCCCAATAGCAGTTCAGTCCCCCTGCCTAACCCTAACCCTAACCCTAACCCAAAACAGCCCCGTTCAGAGTGCTCGCTTTGGAGTGCCTGTCTCTTTAAATGCAAATGAGACACAGCCAATCCACCCACTTCTTCAGCACGATAACGCTACCGTGCTAACGCTCAGCTGAACGTGAACTCTGGGAGAAACATGGCAGCTGGAGGAACCTTTTCGGTCCAACCTTATATGTTTGAACCAGAGTCAGACCCTGAACAAGAAGGAGCTAGCGGAGAAGTTGTTCAATGTAGACTGCAACAAGACGTTTCTGAATGGGGAGTTATGAGCTTTATTTGACTTTTTTCTTAAAATGGCGGAGCACAGATGGGCAGAGTAAGCAGAGGGGGGGGGCAACATGCAGGTGAAAGGCTGGAATATTATAATGAGCTAGAGCTAATGACGTCAGAAACTACCCACTCCTGAAACCTCCTGATTTATCTCCTGGATTCAGACTGAGGCGGCCCACAAAAACACGACCGAGTCATTTTTTTTCACACTTTGCCTGCTGATAGGCCCTCCACAGTCCCAAATGCACATAATCAAATGACTAAAAACTTGGTTTTGCATAATATGTCCCCTTTAAAGTCTTCTATCCAGGTTTTTCTCTGGAACGAATCGAGGCTGAGAAATGACTATTTAAGTCCTTTATTAAAGTCAACACAGATTTAGTTAAATGCAGTTTAAGGGACACTGGAAGTGGGTGTTTTTCTTTATGCTTCCTTTTTTAATAATCTATCTGTAAAGGCACAGCCAGACCCGCGTTCATCAGGTCTAAAAGGTCCAGCTGGGGGATGCAAATCGTAAAAGAACTCATGAATGAAACACGGAGGCAGACTCTTGTTTGTCCCTTGTGGGACACCGTAGCTACGCAGCATGTATTTCGACATGCCGGTAAAAAGGACAAAAGCTCATTCAGAGTCTGTTCGACTCCGTAAATAGAATTATTCCTCAATTCTAAGCTTTTCTGGGATAATTTCCGACTGAATTATCGATTTTCTTCAACCAAGGAAAAACAGGAATGGCTTTATTATCGAGTTTTTTCCCTTCTGAAAGCAACTTAATCTCTGTGAGACAGTATAGTCTATTAAATCTACTCAGCAGGACCAGAGTGGGAGTCAGTTTGTGATATGTTATAGATATTTCAGTACAGAGACACAACCGATTTGGAGGATTATTAAAGATTATTCAAATTTAGCGACTGTTTTGTGCTGCGATTCAGCTAAAAAAGGCCGAACTTTGAAAATAAGTCTGTTTTTTTGTTTCTGGGCCAGCAGGGAAACCCTGAAAGGTGCTTTTCAGAGTGAGAGAAAGCCGTCCGAGTCTCAGTCAGAGCACCTATTGTGCTATCCCACTCCACTAATCTGCCAGCACACACCCAGAAACACAATCATTCCTCCACCTCCGAGGACACAAACGCTGCCTGACCCACTTTAAGCTAACCCGAAACCCTGGGTTTCCTTCAAGGGGCACAAAGGGAGTCCTCAGACTTCCAGAAAAAGCACACAAACGCATCACGACCCTCCGGCTAATCCGCTAAAGCCGTGTGTTGTTGTGCGTTTGGGCCTTTTGGTCCGAAACGTCCCCTTGCTCGTATTTAGAGGGAATCTGGTGCAAAGTACTCCCACTAAGCCAAAGTGGGTTGGTTAGCTAAAAATTCATCTCATTTGAGGCTTTAATCCACCACATTTGAGAGAAAAAGACTCCTTTTCGCCCGTTTACACCCGTCTGAAAGCTGTTAACATCTCAGATTTACGCAAACTTCCAGCATTTTGTAGATGAGTTCTCACATGGGACCCTTTTATTTGCCTTTATCAGCCCCCAGATGAACCCAGGCTTTAGTAACCCTGACAAATGCATTTGAAATGGACCAAATGAGTGGAAATCCTCCAACAATGGCCTTGTTTGACCGGCGTTCTGGCCCGTTTCCATAAGGAGGTTGATAGTTTCTTCAGCCTTTGGTTTCTCTCCGATTAATAAATTACTTATTTTCAGGGACGGCCAGATAAGGCCGGAGCCGGTTTCAGGTGGAACAACGACCCGAGCAGCCGGATAAACGAGTCTGTAGGAGCCTCCCACATCCAAGTCGGCCATTTTGATTAGGTCATGTGAATAGCAGCTTTCTGAGGTGGAGACGAAACGTAACTGTCTATAAGAAATCGGAAGAAATTATGTCCTGACCCTAACCCTGAACCTAACCTAACCCTAATCCTAACCCTGACCCTAAACCTGACCCTAAACCTAACCCTTGTCCTGACCCTAACCCTGATCCTGACCCGAACCCTGATCCTAACCCCGAACCTAACCCTGATCCTAACCCCGAACCTAACCCTGAACCTAACCCTGACCGTAAACCTGACCTGACCTAACCTAACCCTGACCCTAACCCTCATCCTGACCCTAACCCTAACCCTAACCCTAACCCTAACCCTAACCTAACCTAACCCTAATCCTGATCCTAAAGAAATATTTTTTGGTTAAACTTGTTTGGACTTATTGTACAAACCTATTTAACATCCACTATTTTAACATAACATTATGTATAGACTTTAACTAATTTTTTTGCTAGATTCATTTCACTATTTTTAAATTAACCTCTATATTGCCATGAAGCAATTAGGATTTTCTTGCCTGGGATCTTCCTATTGGTGACCTAATCAAAACGGCCGACTTGGATGTGGGGAGTTGGATCTCCATCTTCGGCTTCCTGCGGTCTGCAGTCAGACGTACTCGTGCTAACCAGCTAATGTCCCCCCCCCCACACACCCCCACCCACACGCCAACGTTGGGCTAATGTCCCCCCCCCAGCCCCCCCTGCCCTTCTCGGAGCTGATGGGGGAGCCGGGGCGCCCCGCCTGGCCGTTCTGGGAGCTGCTGAAGTGGATGCTGGGGAGGTCGAATCACACCATGGCGGCCATCTGTAAGTGGGCTCAGACCGGGGGGGTGGGGGCATGTGAGAGCGCCGCCCACATCTGAGTCGGCCATTTTGATTAGGTCATGTGACTAGCAGCTTTCTGAGGTGAAAACGAAACTTTAATGTCTATACGAAATCGGAAGATAAACGAGCTAAACTTAAAACGTCTTTGTTCAGGATGGCTTTTTGCACGTAGGGTCTCTGCATACTGGGTTCTGTCACCGATGTGTTTGTCTTTGTGTATTTCGATAGTTTGATCTGTTTTTATTCTGTAAAGCAGTGTTTTTCAACCTTTTTTTAAGCTAAGGTACAGTTTTTCATTGAAAAAATCTCGAGGCACACCACCATCCAAAAATGTCAAACAAATCTGTAGCCGCCTATAGTGACACTATAGTTATTCTTATTTTATTCTTATCTTATCTTAAGTGTCTTGAATAGGAATCAAATAAACACAAAAATGTATTTTTATCATATTTTATATTTCTTCTTTCAAATTGCACTTAATATGTCCACTTCAGTATGCAAAATTATATCCAAAATCTAGTCATAAGGAATTATTACATGATTACGCCAACAGCACAGACACTCAAAAATGGCATATTATTTGCAGAAAATTATCAAAAATTTTTTCATGATTTTCTACGGCACACCTGACCATCACTCGCGGCACACTAGTGTGCCGAGGCACAGTGGTTGAAAAACACTGCTGTAAAGCACTTTGATCAGCTCCGGTTGTTGTAAAGTGCTATATAAATAAACACTGATTGACTGATTGATTGATTGATTGATTGATTGATTGATTGATTGATTGATTGA